GCGTACATCATTCGAATGAGGCAGCAGTTGCACTTGTGAGAGGATGTTTTCATTTGCTGACGATTATAACCATGTATTTATTGGGTACAGGACGCCAAAGAGAATATCTCACAGAGCGGCAATTTTCACGCCTCACGTCGAATGATGCCACCCCGACCTCCCCCCTCCTTCCGCCACACATTTGCTGATTATGATTTGCTCGTTACGACCACGGCACGTCATTGCGATGTGGGAAGTTTTTGCTTCAACCTAGTGGACGCCCCATAAATTGGCTTAACCGCATCCCGCCACGTATTCGCTTTCTCTAGTAAACTCTCTCAAAATGTGGGCGGAGAGGTAAAGGTGGAGGAAAGAACATCTCCGACGTGCGGTTCGCCCAGGAGTAAACGCTACTAAAAGATGTTGTCTGCAGTTAACGGTCCGCCCAGTAGGGCAGGATAAGGGATAGGGCACGCCGTGACCGAGAAAACCAACAATCCAAAATAATTCTTATTGGACGTAGAAGTGCGAACCGCGGCGACGCTTTCCATAACGATGATCTACTTTGATTAGGATATGCCAGTTATCATGATACGTCAGTGTAGGAGCTGATACGAGTTCCGGGATGTGTGAGCCACTTAACAGGATGCGAGAAACCCAGTGAAGGGGCTCCCAGGAGGGGAGGGGCGGTTGGGGGAGGGAGTGGATTGGAACCCGAAAATGTCTTTTTTAAATGCCATTTTCCCCTCCGTTTTACGCGCGAGCCAATCACAGTCGTTTTTCGCTGCAGATATTGGGGCGTGTCAGGGAAAGAGTGAAGGGGGGGGGCTGAATTTGACGAATCGTCAACCCGTTTTCCAGTAATTCTTGTTGCTTGCCCGCCTGAACAGTTGCTAGGGAATGGGCTGGCCCCGCACCAACCCTAGCCCCATTCCCAACAACCCCTTCCCCGCCCCCGACAACGCGGCATGATTTTCTGCCCCCCCCTACTGGTAACATTAGCCCGCTCTTAGGTTCGTGATGCGGCTAAAACTACTATAATTGATAGGAAGGTCGCCGCCGTCGCCGCGCGAAGGCGAAGTTTCGGGAAAAGGTGGTGAGATGGTAGGTATACTTCGTATCCCACAGATGGAGCGGGCGTGGCCGCGTACTTCACTTGAACGTGACGTGGGATGTGTATGGCGTGGGATATTTCCATTTAGTCATCTGTCATGCTATCTTACGCTAGACAACGATATGACTACACGTGACCCAAAACGACAAAATCCCCATGGAAGTGTAGCCGCCCCTCGCTCAGATGAAGTTTGCAGCCACGCCTACTCTACCTCTGGGATATGGACTGTTGGTTCTGGAAGGGTGGGAGGGCCGCACAGACACGGCTATTCTGCCCATTCCGATGATGTACCCTGCTCAAACCATAGCAGACTTCGTTGTTAGTGTTGAGTTTCGAAAACGCCGTCATCCATCAACACGAAGTGCCGCAAAACACCGAAAAAATCGAGAAAAAATGGTGTGGGAAGGGTGCTTAGCGTAAAACACGACTTTCTGCGTCATCGATGTGTCATGAGAAGTCATACCACGTCGAAACATGTCCTGACACGCTCCATTGCCATTAATATATTAGACGGGGGTTCTATAGTGGACTAGCGCTCTCCCACCTGATTACCACTGGCTGACTGACTGACTGACTGACTGATCATATTGCCGATTAGACGAAAGCGCTCGGCGACCGGCCGCCTCCATCCGATGCCAGTTATTTCGCCTGGCGCTCTCGCGCTGAAATCCAGTTCTTCCGCGTTCGCGACCATTTCACACGTGCATAATATGTGAGATAGGCAGCGAAAAGAATTGAATGAATCAAAAAAGCACTGAAAACCCTCGAGATTCACAGGAATTTCTTGCACGTCTCCAGGCAACAATCGCAGTAGCATAGCTGAACGTCTCTATGACGAAGTGAGAAGTGATTAGTACGTATAAGAACTTGTTATCGCCAATACTCCTACCGTAATCTGCCGTGCCGTCGTTGCTGTGTGTGTGTGAGTGTGTGTTTGTCAAAGCGACAAGTAGAACATCGCTTGTGGTTGCCATTCACACTGCGGGAAAGCTGTCTGAGGACCTCATTCCCATCGCTATGACAGCCTCATCTTCTTTTTTTCCGGCATTTTCATCCTTTCTATTAGTTTGGCCCGAAATGTGCTCTCTTGACGCTCAGCGCCTTTTTATCACACACACCCCGTGACATCACCGTCACAGCGCCATTTCGTTAGATGCACTGTTATCATGGTGATACCGCAGTTCAAGGTGGTATCAATGGTTATATGGAGACGGTACACGTCCGGGCGTTAGGGAGATTTTCCGCCAAATACGACCCCCCTCACCAGAAGTAGTGCAATTGCGAAAGTACGGAATCCCTCCCCGTTGCCGAACTGCGACGGAATTTGTTTGAGTCTCACTCTGGTGAAACCTGTGAAGTCTTGTAATCTCACAAAATGGCTTCTTAGGTGGTCGACAGGTGGAGTGGAAGTAGCCACGCTGCAAAATGCAGCACCCCCCCCCCCCCCTCCCCCCTGCTGAACTGCCTCCAAGTTCCTCTTGCGGTGCGATCTCCCTCCCAATCGACCAGTCATCTTGCTAAACTTTATAAGAAATTTGCCGTCATCGAGCACGGAGAGGGGTATAGTGCGAAACAGACGAAATCAACAATCAGGCAACGTTTTCCCAGATCAGTTATGGCTCCCGTGAGGGTCCTGAACGTATGGAAGGCATAAAGCCAGGAATAATTTTTCCCCATCTTCCACAACACTTATCCCATGACGCATCCTAATAGGACGACTGCCCTGTTGGGGGGGGGCGGCGAACTTGTCTGTTAAGTGTCATCGGCCACATTCAGCAAGTTCGAATGCACCTGCCAATGCGATATGTTGTTAGATGACAGGCCCTGATGAGTACTGAATTGCGGTCTTGGCCCACATATCATTGCTACCACTCGACACTCGCATAGCACCCGCCGTATTATATTCGCTTTTTGCATCATCCAGGCGTGCTGGTGAACACATGGGAGGGATTAGGCGAGAGGGGTGTCGCTTCGGGCTGCTGTGAAATCCCTCTGATTTAAAAATACTAAGTGAAAAATGGGATTTTTTTTCGCGTTTCTATCTGATCCAAACAGTTTGCCCACGCTTCCTTCTTGACAGAATGTCGGAATGAAGTGTCGATTGGCGGTGGTCAATCCTGGTACTGTCTAATAATACCTAGACATCTCTTTGCCTGAGACTCTCTCAGAAAGATGGCCATCGAGATGACTTCTTTTCGTACTTTTTGAGCGGATGGGAGCTTCGCTTACCTAACACCGACAGTTTTTTCCTGCTTCCCCATGACTGTTCTTGCGCTCAGCGAATAGCTAGGAAAATGTTCGCCTTGGACCACAGGACAGTCCAACGACAAAGACTCATGATATTTACTAGACGCGAAATAAGACAAGTTAATAGGCTCGGAGGTGTGAGTTCATCGCGACTCGGGCTTGACCGGCACACTTGTATAACTCATTTATCCCTGAGTCCCGGCGGCTAGGCGTTGCCTTTGGACGCGTGCGACACAGGTATGGCTCGTTACTCGTGAGATATTTCAGCTCCGGGACTAACTGCAATCTCGTCATGGTTCTATAGCGTGGCAATAGACAATTGACCACAATTGCGATTGTAAAATGAAAATATCCCACCCATAAAACAGCGCAGCCAGCAACCCAACATAATCATATACCAAGCCACGAAAAAACCATACCGCAATCCTTAAGGGACCATAAGGGTACAATATAAAATCATAAGCTGGTATCAGCGATGTCTTTCGACCCTCCCCCAATTCCTCTGGTGAGGTGCATGGTTATAACCCCTCTTTCTCCATACTTTACCCGATATCATTACTGCATGCAACTGTATAGCACCCGTACAGCCCTAACTACAGTGGCTATCACTCTATCAGAGAATACCGTTTTATGGCCGGTCGACAGGCGAGGGTGTCATTTGGGCTGCTGAGAGCAATGAGACGGATCCTCACTGTTTGAACATTCTCGGGTACTAAATCATTAGCCGGGATTTCACGGTTTTCTCTCCGTTTGCGGAAATGTTTTCCCTCTTCCTTAGAAGGAGGGGGAAAACTTTGTGGGGGCGGCCGGGGAAATAGAGTACGCTATAAGGGCGGTCGCACTTGGTACTGCTGAGAAACGGGCACCCTTTTCGATAACTTCCCGGAGAGCGAGGCGTCCGTTCGGACGTGAATCGACGTTGTTCAACCATCTCCCACTTAAGCTCCCTTTAGAAATTCCGGTCCTGAATCCTCTTTGTCTTAGGTCCAGAAGACAGGTTACAGGCATCGGCTGATGCTGCTGTGAAATGGGTCGTGGTCGTGTCCCCCCCCCTCGAAAGGAGTGTCTCGGTAGCCCCCCCCCCTTCCCCTATACCTACCCATCTGCCACTTTCCTGCAAGTTCCCAACCAACGCGACAAGTTTCTATTCCCCCTCTCTCCCAACAACGACCAAATACGAACCCCCCCCCTCCCAGCGGCCAAGTACGACACCTCTTCCAGTGTTTCACACAACGATGCTGTACCCTGTCCAGAGAGTCCATGAAAGGGAATAGAGCTGGACTGATTCGGGAAAAAGAAAGAAAAGCAAAGGCCATTGATATGGACTAGGTTAACCCCACCTTGGCACATTTTCGTGGAATCGGCGATTTTACGACCCTCCCATTGCCCTACTGGATACATGGTAAACTCTTTCACTTACCCATCAAGGTCCAGACTGTGAACAATAACTTACGAGCCACTCAGCGCGATTCTCGCTGGTATCGTGCGGTTTTCGGGTGCATGTGTTTGCGTGTGTGTGTGCGGGCGAATGTGTGTGGTCGCGATGTGTCGCCGCGTGCGGCCAGGCGATTGCCGCACACGACAGTGCCGAGTCATCGATTTGCGCCGCTAGAGACTGCGAATGATTCAGTGTGCGACGGTGGAGCTGGCCGGCTGAGTCATGGATGGCGAAAAGGGCGAGTTCCAGGCCCTCGGCGGCTCTCTGGCTCTCGATCAGAAGGGCGAGTTTCAAGCCCTAAGGGGCACACTGTCACTCGACCTCTCCAATTGTAAACTACGCAATCCTCAACCGGCACCTACTAATAGCGGTAAGTCCCCACGTTTTTCATTGTTTATTTATGTGTTTGTCCTTGATTCACGTGCTCGGGGAATCCCCTATCCTCATTGTCGCCGTTCCATTGTGAACTAACGACGACTGGGCTGATGAGGGTAATCACGTTTTGATGGGGGTGGTAGATTGCTGACAACCGGCTGGTTGGTTGTGTGGGGTTGCTGACAGACGGATGGAACGGCGGCGATGAGGGGAGGTTGCTTACGCGATTACGAGCCATATTCACATTTCGATTTCCTTTGGACTTTTCAGAACCACGCAATGATCCCACGCTCGAACAAAAACAATACGCTCAAGGATTCTTTGGTTCGTTTCCTTTCATTCCCACACATTCCTTTCCCTTTTTTCCTCTTTTTTTCCCCACTTTTTGGAGATCCTTCCTGAAAACCAATTGATTCTCTTTGCTTCCTTACCCCCGAAATTCCAGATGCTCTCCGTACGGTTCAACAGATCCATAATTTTGAATTTGAAAAGAAAGTTCTATCACCGGGATTTATAGCGCCAATTGTTGGCTCAGAACTACTCACACCGCTCATTTCTCCTTCTAGTCGGTATGTTGACAATCATTGATTTTTACACTTGATTATTTTTTTCCTATTCTGAATTTGTTCCAATTGGATGATTAATCTTCCGTTTTTTTGCAACTCAATTGGATGGGGCGCGGTGACGATGCCGGGGAGAGGAAGCGTCAGCGCTCTGGAAATTAGAGTGTGTTAGTACAGCAACCGCGGTTGAACAAACATGCTGAAAGTTGCGCCACCTGAAAGTCGACGCTCTTGTAACTTTGGGATTGTCAGCCTTGGAGGGGGGGGGGGCAGGACCGTCTTGGTGTGTTCATTCTATGAATCTGATGGTGTTGACTGAAGTGTGATGAAGTTGATGAGAGAAAGATGACCTTGCATTTTTCGTTGTTCATTGTACAGTAACGGTCGGGTGACGCGGAGCGCGGACAGATAGGCGTTTGATAACGGCTTCGGAGGGTTATTAGTCACAATTGTGTCGGTGATAACGACAACCACAGCTGCGCCAATTTGGTATCAAAATCTAATCGAATCGAAAATGAACAATTTCTCCTGGAAGAACCCGGGGATACCCTAGAAATCATTATATTCTTCAGCACCCGGGACTGATAAAGGGCCACTGTGTTATTCACTAGGATACTGTCATGTAGCGAAGGTGGTGTAGTGGCAAGTGGCACTCTTACCAGGCCCGCGGTCAGGGGTCAAATCCTGAATCGGCTCCTACCAGGCCAACCAAGCCCTCTACCCTTCAGGCGGTATGATTGGTACCAGACTCGAGTGGGAATGTTAACAGTGACGTACATCGGCTATCCTCGCCTCCCAAGGCGTTGTATAGGCCAAGTCGCATTCAATAAATAAAAAGCAATTCAGTACGGTTGTGAATGGTTGTAGGATGCGTGGCGCATCCCAAAAAGGGGTTACAAATTGACGCCAAAGCCCTCAGTCTTTTGCTGATATACTATCATGGAGCTTCCATTACTCTTATGGCCGCAGTCGGTGCAGTCAGGGCATGTTGTAAGAAAATCACTGACAGGTGGTCGTATTTGGGTCCGCTGGGAGCTGGGTGTGTATTTCACCCTGAGAAAAGTTCTTCGATTGATTATCGTCCCTGCTGCCCTTCCCCACCACCTCTCCGTTCTCGCTGGACTTCGCAAAGTTTCAGTTTCGGAATTTCGGCAAGACACTCCACATCCAAGGAATGAAGTAGGCGTGGCTGCGTACTTCACTTGAACGCGTCGCAAGATTCGTATTTTGGGGATATTCCCATTCGAAAAGAACCGCCATCCTACCTTGGGCTGGACAAAGGCATGAATGCAGTCATCCCAGAATGGAAATATCTTACCACAGGAGCAGTGGTCGCCAAGTCAAACAGAGAAGCGCAGCCTCTCACATGAAATACGACCACAACCTAAATACGACCCTCTCCCTGATCTATCCTCAACGCTCGAGCTGCATTGCTCCCACCTTAAGGAGTCGATCGCTTAGGGAGTTTGTGTGAGAGGTTAAAACTAAACTTGAACGTGAGTGTTTTCCTAGGTTTTTTCAGTTATGATGGAGTGCTTATTTTCTCATGTTGACCAAATTATCGTTACCGAGGGCTGAAGATAGCTCGAAATGTTTTTATTTACCCACCTACTTGGCCAGTACCCTTATCGATCGGGACTAGTTGCAATTTTTTTGACTGTTTACCAAACGGCCTCCGAAAGAACTTTGTTGGCGCGACCATTTAGACGCCACAGCGATTCCGAGTAGAAGTGGGATGCGCGGCGCATCCCGAAAAAGCTAGGTTCTGGAAGTTCTTGACTTTTATTATGAGGTTAAGACTGTGATTTTAGAATCTCAACAATTGACGCTTTCAGACACAGCTGTTTACTTACCTACTTGTTTATTGATTTATTTATTTATGTCTTCGAAATGATCACGTGCACTCAACCCATGTTCTAGTGAAACCGCCCAACCGTCTTTGCGCTGACCCTCCTGAAAAACTCCTATAAAAAAGGCAACGGTTCAGGTCATGTGGAGAGTTTTTTCTTTCGCCCACATCGATCATCGACCGTTTCGCCATTCATGGAGACTTCGAAAAGTACAGTATGCGTTTAATCCCGCAAGTGCTATGGGCCTATGGGTCTCTTACTGGCACAGATAAGTCCCACTGGAATGCGGCGTGCGTATGGGGGACTTTTGGAATCCTAGACTGCTGCCTAGTCTAAATAACCGTCCCGTTACCGTTATTCATAATATATGAACCATTTTGCTGGACGTTTCATTTACTCAGTCACATTGCCTCCTTCAATTTCATACGCTTCAGTCACAACCACCTTGGAGCGTAGAGCTTGGGTTTATGGAATCCTTCCAGATTACGCCAAGTGCTCATCTTACATTCAAAATCACGAAGCGCGTGCCAAGCGTTGATACCTCTAACTAGAATGAAATGCAGCGGCTACGTATCCTTCAATACAAAATTTGCGCACAAGGAGTAAATAAATAAATGGTAAATAAACTGTAGTAAAAACGAAGGCATTCATAGATGTAAAGTAAAAAGCAATAGGTATTTTGCGCCAAACACAAAAAAGCGGGGGATTTTCAAGAGCCTGGTCTTTTGTGATTCGAGGGTGGGAGGAGGTTTTGTGGTGCTCTTTTCGAGGGAAAAGGGTGCCGTTGAAGGATTCGCAACCTTTCGAAACAAGAAATCGAAACACCAGCCCACTCAGATCTCTGGATAACCCTTGAGTTCCCGAAGACTATTAGCACCGTGGTGAGCTTTTAAGCTAAACGCGCTCTTTCGGATTTTCAACTGCGACACGATTTTTCATCTTCTCAGATATGAGAAATTTCTGGGTAGTACCTGAGGGGGATTTTCGAAAGGAATCTCATCAAAGTGGTTCTCTTTTTTTTCTGAAACACTGATGAACGGCGCAGTTTGTCGACGGGGGGGCATTCTGCTTTCCACAGATGTGCCGACCCATCTAGGCAGCCTTTTCTCGAGTTGACACGTTTTATGATGGTGGCTCTAGACGATCTTGCACCAGCTTCACAAGGGTTCACAAGTTTTACCAGGGTGAGATTTGTAAACCGGAACTAGGGAAGCAATGGTAGTACAAAATGCCCCCCCCCCCCCCCCGTCGACAAACAGCGCCCTTGATGTAACTATGGTCAAGGGCATCAAGTGAGTTTCGCAATATGTTAGGAGGAAAGGCCCTTAGCAGATTAGTAAGATTGAGGCAGGTTTCAATTTCAGAAATTACCCAGAAGAACATTTTAAAACAGAGGAACTTCATTCCAGTTCCGGATATTATCATCAAGACAGAAGTGGGATGGAACGCGTTTCGACAAGATCGCGTCAGATGACTGCAGAAAATCAATGCTGCACGTCGGTTCGTAGCCGCAGGAGGGAGGGAGGGGGGAGGGTCGATCTTTCGATCTTCCTGCTATCATAGGGTGTAGTCACTAGAAACTGTTTCTCTGTATAATCAGGATAACGATAAGTAACAGAATATCTCTGGTTGTGCGACTGTGCTATGTCATGTCTGCTTGTCTGCACTCTCTCAAGGAGATAGTACCCGAAGTGGTTTTCGAATGGTTTCCGGCATTTAATGTGTGAAAAATGAAGTGCAACTCGAAAGGTGTGGTGTATACTCCTTTTCGAAGTATTTGAAACGGCGTTACAAGGCAAGTTATATTCAAGAAAGGAAGTCGTGCTGCCTCCTCCCCCATCTCCAACTACCATTACCCCCATTTAATCTGGGAAGCGATTACTATTCCTAGGGTTAATCGGATGCATGGCGCGTTCCGGAGTGATGTGTCAAAATACGTTACATATCAAGAGAGGATAGTTGTTCCGCCGCGAGTCCTCCTCAATTATCTGTTCCATTCAACGTAATATATACCTGTGCGAAAGCGGATACTATTCCTAGCAATAGTGGGGTGCATGGCGCATTCGGAGTGCTTTTATACTTAGCATCTTAGCCCATATAATTCAACCTTCGATCCCCAAATATCATTTTTCAGTGACTACCAAGCGATTCTAAATGCCATGGTGGCAAAGACGCCGATAATGCAGCCTACGGTGGGAATTTCGACAAATCCCGTCCTGCCAACAGGGTTTCCAACAGCGGTCTCAGCTCCAGGCACCGCATCGACCACGACCTCTGGAGCTGCGCCGTCGACGTCAGCTACCGTGTCCGCCACCGCTCCAACAGAACCTGTTATGAAGGTAGAGGTGAGAAAGGTACAGTCACCTGATCCAACGGTCAGGTATTACAAAGGGCAATTTTGCTAATCAGTGATGAATTTATTGTTCAGATCAAACAAGAACCTCGATGTGTTTCTGAAGATTCCACCGAATCAGATCGGTCAAGATCGTCCAGTACCACAGCTCAACACTCTTCACGGTACAGCTCGAAAAACGATCTAGAGTGAGTTTTTCATCGTTGATTTCTGAATGCTATTATTACCATCGTTTGTCGGTTTTTTTTCGTCGTTATCTCTCTTTCCCAGCGGTTAATTCTTTTCGTCAACCGTCGTGATAAGGAAGAATGTAAAAAAATTGGCTACCCTTTCTGATTCACAAGATAGCTGAGGGACAGGGGGGGGGTCGAAGAAATACGCAGTTCTCTGCCTCTTGGCGCACTTTCCAGCAACGAATTCAATGAAGAAACTGTTCCGCTTTGTAACCATTTCTATTTTTTTTTCGGCAGCGAGTATCACACAAAAAGATGAGTCCATAGTGGGGGGGGGGGGTAAAACCACTTGTAATGTCGATCCTTCTTTTTTTTTGCCCAGACGAGGAGACGGGCAAGAAAATCGTAAATTGCCGCTTCGTCGCGCGCGGCAATGGGCAGATGTTTCCTTCATTTGCACTACCCTTTCAATTAGAGCATCGGATTTCATGAAGGCAAGGACATGGTAGACACTTATGTATACTTTTGGTCATACATTGTTTATTTTCGACAAATACCACCTTAAATCGTCGTCATTAATGGGCGCGACGTCGCGCGCGACCCTACTCCGCGCGGCGAATTACGATTGTCTTGCCACATACCCGCCCAG